TTTTCTGGTGTCTCAGCTGAATGCTGAGATAATACGTGCTGCAACAAGATCTTTCCACTCGGGCTGGAATGATGACTCCCAGCACCATGTGACCTCTGGTATTTCCATTCTTCTCTCAACTCCATAGCAGGCAGTCTCTTGCAAAGTCTCAACATGTGCATGTGCAGCCCAGTTCTTGACCAAAACCCAACAGAGAACTTGTTATGGGTTAAATTGTGTTCCCCCAAAAAGATACATTGAAGTCCTAACCCCCAATACTTCAGAATGTGACCTTCATTTGGAAAAAGGGTCCTTATAGAGAAAATTAAGTTAAAATGAGATCATTAGGGTGGGTCCTAATCCAGAATAACGGGTGTGCTTATAAAAAGTTGAAATTGCACACAGAGACATATACGCAGAGAGAAAGCCGTGTGAAGAAAAGGGAGAGACCAAGGTATTGCATCTACAAGCCAAGGAATATCAAAGATTGACAGCAAATCACCAGATGCCAGGGAAGAGGCATGGAACAGATTCTCCCTCACAGCTCTCAGAAGAAACCAATCCTGCTGACACCTTGATTTCAGACTCCTGGCCTCCACAATTGTGAGAGAATAAATTCCTGTTGTTTAAGCCCCCAGTTTGTGGTACTTTGCTGTGGCAGCTCCAGCAAATGCATACATGCCCACAAAGACTTTTGGTGGCCCCTCTACATGACTCCCTCCTTCCTGGCAGCCAACCCCAAGAGTTCCATTCGCTTTAGCAGCTCCAAACTCTGATCTTTGCTTCTGAGCTCAGCATGACGCTAGACTCTTCTTGGGTTCCACCTTGCTGTGCTGTAGTCAGGAAGTTGTCCCCAGGCAGACAGCTGGTTCATGCTGGGCTCCCTTTATGGGTTTTCCTTCTCTCAGGAATTGCAGCTGTGCACTGCCTGTTGTCCAACGCCTGCAAACAGTTGTGTCATGCATCTTGTCCAGTTTCGTAGTTGTTTATGGTGAAAAGTAATTCCAATATTTGTTACTCCATCATGGCCAGAAGTGAAGTTTCTGTTCTAAATTCTTTATTTGAATTAACTCATTTAATCCTCTCAACAACTCCCTGAGGTAGGTTATTATCCTCATGAGTTCCAGAAAAAAACTGAGGCAAAAAAAGATTAAATAACTTGTCCAAGGACATATGTTCTGAACAGAGGAGCTAGATTTTGAATCTAGGAAGGTTAGCTGCAGAGCCTATGTTCTTAAACATTAACCTGTTATCTTACATAATAGGTGCTCAATGAATGCATTTTGAATAGATGAAGAGACGGTGGTCTCTTCTACCTTTATTGCCATTTCCTTCTGTTCCACCTGCCCAGGAAAACCCCAACATTACACCAATCCAGTATCTTCACTCTCCTGCACCCAGATTTTTAGCATGATGGAGAAAATCACACTTCTGGGCAGACTGAACTCCTACCAAGTTATGTGGACCTTTGACAATACCTAATAATCCTGTATTTCCCTAGTGTTTGCCTTCCATTTGCTGTTGGTTTTCTCCTCTAATCTCAAACACTTGTACCTTCCTTCTTGTTATTTTCAGGAAAAACACAATTTCCAGCTGTGAACTCTCAGTTTCCTTCTCATTCCTATAAATTTGACTTGTATTGGCACCCACCCTTGCCTTTTCCTCTACTGTCAAAATATTTAGTGTTTTTCTCTTTCTATCTAAGGATCATCCACTTTTAGCTGCCACCTGATGTCTTTCCTCTCTTTCACAGCCAAGTTTGTGGAAGTGTCAGTCACATTCTCCATCTGCACTTGCTCATCTCCGTAGGATTGGAAGTCCTAGCCAGAGCAATCAGGCAAGAAAAAGAAATAAAAGGGATCCACATTGGAAAAGAAGAAGTGAAATTGTCACTCTTTGCAGATGACATGATTTTATTTTTATTAATTTCATCCTTAGGCTTTCTTTAAATGTATGTTATTCTTTTTTGACTTCTTGATTTTGGATGCTTAATTCTTTATTTTTTCTGTTTATTAATATAAGTATTTAAGATCATGAATCTTCCCCTGCTTTATTTTTGTCTAGTTGTAGGATTTTTTCCCTATGTATTTTTGATTTTTGTTTTTGTTTCCTCCTTGATCAAAAAGTGTTTAAGAGAAAAATTTAAAAATTTCTGTGTGGTAGGGTCTCTTGTTTTCTGGTTTTGTAATTAAATCTAGTTTATTGTATTTTGATCACTGTATGTTATTTTATATTATTTCTACTTTGGGGAAGTTTTATAATTTCTCTGTGGTTTTATATTCAGTCTATTTTTTAATATTCCATGGATAGCTTTTAAAAAAGTATACCTCTGTTTTCAGATTACAGAGTTCAATATACAGAGTTCAAATTTGTATTATTGATTACACGTTTATTTCTTCTCTATCATTATTTACTTAGGAAACCACGTACATAGGAAATGTGTCCTTTCCTTGAATATGGGCTAGGAATTGTCAAGACCCCAGACTTGTCCCTACTCTCAACCTGGTGCCAGAGCAGAAGAAATGTTACTGTGGTGGTTTTGCAGCCCAAAGCATTGTGAGGAGGGGGAGAGTGATTTCCATTGCTCTTGAGTGGGGAATGGAAATAAGGCAGAGAGAAAGAGTTACAGGCACAGAGGTTGGGTAAACGGGATGTTGAAACCCTTGTTAATCAGTGATCTGGGACCAGATCATGCAGTGTCATCTCAGGAGGTGCCAGCAGCACAGACAAATGCCAGCCCCCTTGCCTGGCACCAGGTAAGTTCCCCACCCCACCCCTGGTGAAGGAAGACTCTAAGTGACTGAGATTTAATGTCTACCACCCATTTGAATGAGACTCGAAGAAGAAATTCAGTTCAGTTATGGAACAAGTATGTTTTGCACACTCAGCCCACAACATCTGTAGCTCCAGCTCAGATCTCTCTGAGAGTTCTAGACTTGCATCTGGGTTAGATTAGACTTTTCAGCCTCAAATTGAGTGTGCTCCAAACTAAACCCATCTCTTCTCATCTTCTCATCCTCCTCACTCCTCAACTAAAACCTGTTCTTGTCTTCCATATTTTACTAAATATTATCAACATCCATTCAGTAGTCTAGGACAGAAACCAGAGCATTGTGATGGAGAGTGTAGTTCAGAGAACACTAAAGATTAAAAACCAACTAAGGCATCTCCATCCTATTATTGCTCATATGTACTGGGGCTCATAGGGAATTTAGTTTAAAAATTAGGCATGTTTTAAATCAGTAGCATTTCTATACTCTAACAACGAACTAACAGAAAAAGAACTCAAGAACACAATCCCATTCACAGTCGCAACAAAAAGAATAAAATACTTTGGGGTAAATTTAACCAAGGAAGTGAAAGACCTATACAATGAAAACTACAAGATTTTCCTGAAAGAAACTGATGATGACATAAAGAGATGGAAAGACATTCCATGCACATGGATTGGAAGAATAAACATAGTTAAAATGTCCATACTACCTAAAGCAATCTACAGATTCAATGCTATCCCAATCAGAATCCCAATGACATTATTTACAGAAATAGAACAAAGAATCCTAAAATTCATATGGGGCAACAAAAGACCCCGAATTGCTAAAGCAATCCTGAGGAAAAAGAACAAAGCTGGAGGCATCACAATCCCTGACTTCAAAACATACTACAAAGCTACAGTAATCAAAACAGCATGGTACTGGTACAAAAACAGCTGCACAGATGACTGGAACAGAATTTAAAGCCCAGAAATAAAACCACACATCTATGGACAGCTAATCTTCAACAAAGGAGCTGAGGGCATACGATGGAGAAAAGAAAGTCTCTTCAACAAATGGTGCTGGGAAAACTGGACAGCCACATGTAAAAGAATGAAAATTGACCATTCTTTTTCACCATTCACAAAAATAAACTCAGAATGGATCAAAAACCTAAGGATAAGACCTGAAACTATAAGCCTTCTAGAAGAAAATATAGGCAGTACACTCTTTGGCATCTGTATTAAAAGGATCATAGGACACCATGTCTTCTCAGACAAGGGAAACAATAGAAAGAAAAAACAAATGGAACTTCGTCAGACTAAAGAGCTTCTTCAAGGCAAGAGAAAACAGGATTGAAACAAAAAACAACCCACCAATTGGGAAAAAATATTTGCAAGTCGTATATCCGGCAAAGGGTTAATCTCCATACTATATAAAGAACACACACAACTCAACAACAAAAAATCAAACAACCTGATCAAAAAATGGGCAGGGGACATGAACAGACATTTCTCCAAAGAAGATATACGGATGGGCAATAGGCACTTGAAAAGATGCTCATCATCACTGATCATCAGGCAAATGCAAATCAAAACTATATTAAGATATCACCTTACACCCGTTAGAATGGCAAAAATAACCAAAACAAAAAGTGACAAATGTTGGAGAGGATGTGGAGAAAAGGGAACCCTCCTACACTGCTGGTGAGAATGCAAACTGGTGCAGCCACTATGGAAAACATTATGGAGATTTCTCAAAAAATTAAAAATAGAAATACCATATGACCCAGCCATCCCACTACTGGGTATCTATCCAAAGAACTTGAAATCAGCAATTCCAAGAGACCCATGCACCCCTATGTTCATTGCAGCATTATTTACAATAGCCAAGACATGGAAGCAACCTAAGTGCCCATCAACTGATGACTGGGATAAAGAAGATATGGTATATACATATACAATGGAATACTACTCAGCCATAAAAAAGGATAAAACCATCCCATTCACAACAACATGGATGGACCTTGAGGGTATTATGTTGAGTGAAATAAGCCAGATAGAGAAAGACTATCTCTGTATGATTCCACTCATATGTGGAAGTTAAACACATGGACAAAGAGAACAGATTAGTGGTTACCAGGGGAAAGGGTGGGGGGGTGGGGATGGGCACAAAGGGTGAAGTGGTGCACCCACAATATGACTGACACAATAATGTACAACTGAAATTTCACAAGGTTGTAAACTATCATAATCTTAATAAAAGGTAACAAAAAAAAATTAGGAATGCTTTTTAAATAGTTTGAAAAACCACTGTAGGAAAGGGTACAATACAGTGGAGCAAAAGGGACTAGAAACCCTTCCATACAAGCCAAAGCTACTGAAAAGCCCGGGGGCCAGCGTAGGAGTGGAGGGTGGTGTCGCTAGAGGAGGGACCTGGAGAGGCGGAGAAGAGGAGGCGAGTGTGACAAAGGTGAATGGCCGAAGGGCGGAGGGTTTAGGAAACGTCCTTCATTGGCTGTCTGGTCATCTAAGCGTTTGAGGGCCAGGGGGAGTGACTAAGCCTAAGCTTTATCAAGAAGGGCCAGTGTCCAGGGTTCCTTCCCAGACAAACCCAGGGTTCCTTCCTTCCTCACTGCTCCCCATGGCTTTTCAGGAATCCACGGTGCCTGATGTCTATCAGGCGAATTTTGAACCCACAGCCTACCTGGACTACTTCAAGTTGGGCCAGAATCCTTTGAGTGATGAATTCCTCCATTTTCTGCTAAAACACTACAATGCCACTTTTAAATCAGGTGCTGGGCTCCTTCAACCCTGGGGGAGGTTGGGTGGCCATGCGAATCTTAAATCAGATGCTGGTGTTTTTCAACTGTAGGGCAGGTTTGGGGTGGGGGTGGAGCAGGGCGGTCAGACGATTGACAGGAACTTTGGACCTTCAGAGAGTGTGAAACTGCCCTACAGGAAGATTTTATATATACTTAATGTATGGTACATGGTGAGATGCCCTCAGTTTCTGCGGTCTCTGAGGTCAAGATTTTCTCCTCCCATGAAATCTAAGAACTGTGGTCTTTGATGGTCCTGAGCGGGCCTGCCTTCTCCGTCTCCCTGACAAAAGAAGCTACATGCGCATCATGAAGTGTGGGAAGCCTTGCTCCAAAGTCCCAAAGTTCGCTCTTCTGCCTGATTACCACTGAGGACAACAAAAACATCCTGGGCGAGTGGCTCTCAGATTTGCCCCTAGGGGAAGAATGGTGCTAGGCAGGCTGGACCATTAAATCAAATAATAGGTATCTTTTCATGATTCACATGAGAAGAACATCTAACTCCATAGCTAGAGTTTTCCCAATTAAAAATTTTCTGCCGTAAAATTTTCTTAAACCTTTGGTGGCTGCCTGAATTTATCTGCCACCATTCCCTATGGATAAAACACATGAACGGGGAACAAACAAAAGGTAACAAGAGCATCCAGGAGCAAATGAGCAGGTGAAGTTCAGCAGGTAGTTGGAACCCTTGGGTCCAGCTAGTTTCCTCTCCTTGTTGCCATGAGGTTTACCTCGGAAGCCCTTGGCCAGGTGGGCATATTTTGTGTTAACCCAGTCTCTCCCTGGCTGGAGAGGAGGCAGGATACAGAGGGGAGACCAAGGGCTCTGTGAACAGGCCCTATATTCTCCTTTAGTCCACACACTGCCAGGCAAGTTTGTGGGAATACAGTTGGTGCTCCATAAATGTTTGCTGATTGTTCTCGGAATGTTATAGATGATCTCAGTGGGGCCACAGGGCCCTTCAGCAAAAAGTGCTTGGAATAGGGAAGCCAGGGTCCTCAGGAATGTGACCAGATTTCTTCTGTGAACACTTATTGAGAGGGTGAATTGGCAGTTGAAATGGCAAAGTCGGTTCTCTACTAGTTGCCCGCCACCCAAACAAACTCTTCTGTTCCAAACTCTCCCCTCCTCCCCAAACTATCCGTACTCAGTGCCCAGGACTGTGCTACGTGGTGCCCGAGGCTGTCAGTGCAGGCAAGATTCCTGGAGTTTACATTCCCAGATGGCCAACTCGCTACAGCCTCTCCAAATGGGATAGAGAGAGTGCAGCCTTTTGGCAAGTGTGGACCTCAGAGCCATGCTTTGGTACAGATAATCTAGAATGTTCCTGTTCTAAAGCAGGTGGACTGAAAGGCAAACTCCTGATTGACATTGGCTCTGGGCCCACCATTTATCAGCTTCTCTCCGCCTGCGAGTCTTTCCAGGAGATCATCGCCACCGACTACACAGACAAGAACCGCCTGGAGCTGGAAAAGTGGCTAAAAAAGATGCCAGGGGCATTTGACTGGTCTCCAGTGGTGAAATACGTATGTCAGCTTGAGGGGAGCAGGTAAGGGGTTTGTTGTTTCTTTTGGGAACTTCATGATACCAGGAGCTTCACTTAGCTCTCTGAATCAAGAATTTTCCAGAGGACTCACGTAGAAATGGCAAGGCAGATGGAAACTAAGAAGTAAGGAAGTCAGTGGGGCCCTAAGAAGAAGAAAGGAGGAAGAGTGAGATATGAGTCCTATAAAGACCAAAAGAGGGAACAGAAATAGATGAGTAGAGACAGACACGGAGCCAGAAAGAAACTGTCACGAAAGCCTACCCAGAATGCCAAGGTATGAGCCCAAGCAGCTATGGAATGGCAGGGCAGCTGCCCGCTGGTTGTTTATGGCGGGCACCCATTCTGATTGGCTGGGACACCTGTTGTTCCAATTCCAACCTCCAGGTGGCTCCAAGCTTGTGTAATTTTTCTGTGGACCACATGAGGTGGGGGACAGAGTTAAGACCAATCTCGCATGCAGGTGGAACAGAATTTACTTACCTTGTGTAATCTCAGGGCACCAGGAAGGTCGACCATAACACCTCCACTCCCAAAATATGACTCTCCCTAGTTAGGTAACGTGATTGAAGTTGTACAGTGAATTCTTATTCCTTTTACTTAAGACTAGGACTTTTTTAAAATGCAGAACTGGAAAGAGTAAACCTTTTAATTACTAGTCCTTATTCACACCTCAATATGAGTGAACCCCACATCCTGAGAACAGGTACAGGGGAGAAGAAAACGAGTGTGGTGATGAGGAGGTTGAGTGGAGTGGCCGGGGGACACGGGAGGGAAAGGTATTGGAGAGACTGGGGGTCCCCAACCAAGTCTACCAAGCTCGCTTTGTAGTTCTCCTCAGCTGACCCCAGGCAGACTTGCCCTTTCTTGTTGCCCTTGCCTGAGTCGTGTTAAGCGCGGACCTAGCTGAACGAGAATGGGCTAACTGCCGGGAGTACAAGCAGGAGAGGGCCTGCAGGTGGAAGGAGCACTGACCACAGGGTCAGCAGGTCCCAGGCTTGACCTTGTCAACAGCTGGCTTCATGACCCCCTCTCTCTCTGGGACTCAGTTTCTTCATCTGTAAAACTGGCAACCTCATATTCTGGGAGTCTGTGTGAAAAAGGCAGGGAATGACTAGGGGTGCTGTCTGCATCTCACACGATGAGCATGACCCAGCTGGCCACTCTTTCCTCTTCACTCCAGAGACAAGTGGGCTGAGAAGGAGGAGCGGCTAAGGAGAACTGTCCGCCAGGTGCTCAAGTGTGACATTCTGAAAGAACGGCCCCTGGAACCCGCAGTCCTGCCTCCCGCCGACTGCCTCATTTCCTTGCTGTGCCTCGAGGCTGCCTGCCCCACCCTGGGGGCCTGCCGGGCAGCCCTGCGCCACCTCAGGACCCTGCTCCAGCCCAGGGGCCATCTGGTGCTGAGCGGGGGCTTTGAGACCACCTTTTACATGGTGGGTGACAAGAGGTTCTCCGCACTGCCCCTGGAGGAGAAATTCCTGCTGGAGGCCCTGCAGGAGACGGGCTTCACCATTGAGAAGCTGGAGAAGGCTCAGCAGCCTGCTGAGGGCTCAGACGACCGCTCAGACTACACGGGAATGTTCTTCCTTGTGGCCCGGAGAAGGGACTGATGCAGCAGACCTGGAAGGAGCCAGGAGCGAGCAGGGGCAGACTGCCACCTGTCATTCTGCCACCTCATTTGCTTGCCTCTTCATTTAGCCAGTTTCATTTAGAACTCTTACCAGCAAATGCTTTTAGAGTCTTATTGTACATGATTGCCAGGTAAACAGGGATGTTTAGCTCAAACAGAGAGGTTTATGATATACTCCACTAATAGCCGAGGGTTGGGGAAAGAATTGGACCAGAGAAATAAAGCTGTGCCTCCTCTGGTTTTGAGGGCTCCTCAGGGTTGTGTGGAGTGAAGAGGGTGGAGTCCCCCACGATCTCCTATTTTAGATAATTCGGGACTGCACAGCTTCTGAGCTCATCCACCCGCTGTATCCTCACCCCGCTAATGCTGCAGCCCCGCCCCAGGAGAGGAAAAGAACACAGGCCCCGTGTCAGGAGACACGGATTTGATACTTGGCTCTCTGGCTAACTTGTTCTTGTGACTTTAGCTGGATTGTCAATATCTCAGAGCCTCAGTTTCCCCATCTCTGAAATGGAGATAATAACATCCCTCCCCAGGGTTATTATGAGACCCGAAAAATATAACATGAATACACTTGGTAGAGAACTACCTGAACACTGTGTGTGTACAGGTTTTGGCTGACCCTATATATGCGTGTAATAAGCAGTTCTGAAGAGAGCTTGAGAAGTTGTTTTCCCTCTTTGTCCACTGGAACCCACCTAACCCAGTTTGGGACAGGGATGGGGCACTTGGGAAAGACTTTTTCAAGAAATCAGCAGCAGATCAGAGAGATCTAAAGGGTGGCCACGAGTCAGCCAGGTGAAGGAAGGGGAATGAAGAGCAGGAACTCCCAGGAGCATGTGCCGAGACCCCGAGGGAGTTAACATACTGTGTTTGGTGAACTTCAAGAAAAACTGAAGACACTTGGGTACAAAGGTTAGGGCCCTGTCCCTCTAGGGCACTGTTAACACACTGGGCACCTGGCATGGTAGGATAGGCCAGCCCTTCAAGGGGGCAGAGAAATGCCAAAGCTGTGACAGTTGGTAGGGGGCGGGAGGTGGGCAAACAGGGAATTTACTCATTCAACAAATATTTGTCGAGTGCCTACGTAAAGCTAGGCACTGTGCTACATGTCAGAACCTTTGCCCAGGTCTGGGCCTCACACTAAACATGGTTGCAACATCTAAGGCCTTGATTATATTCTACCCAATGTGTGTGCATCTCTGTATATTCCCGTGTGTGTATGTGAATAGGTGCGTGTGTGTGTGTGTGTGCACACTGACGATGGTAGTAGAGGGTGGGTCAGATCTATCTGTGGTGCCACCACATGAGTCATAGGTGAGGCTGACTCCCGAAGGCTGAGTTCAGTTCAGGAGTTAGCTGCCAGGAGAAGATTACAGTAGACGGGCCCAGAGGCTGAGTGTTAACACTCCTTCCAAGGAGAGCTCCAAATGTACACTGAAGTATGTGGCCATAAAGCTGGGCTGGGCCGGAAAGCAGAAGGTGAAGAGTAAGGTGGGCTGGCGTATGGGGAGGGTGTCCAGGGCAGGTGCTCTGGCAGGACCGAGTTGCCCAATGCACTACCTCACTGCATGAAGTGTGGGTGTGCACCCTCGAGTAGGTTCCTCTGGGGTCCTGGCGTTAGTTACACCGGCATTCACATCAAGGAGCTATTGGCTCCTTTATACGACATTCAAGTTACTGCATACACTTTGCGGGCCGAATATGAGTCAGAATCATGTTTGGCTTCATGGGAGATAAAGAAATACCAATATGTGCAAGGTGTAGCAAGGGACCGGAAAGGGTTTACATTCATTGAATTAACGAACAACACACTTTTATTAAGCACCCCTTGAGTAGGCATGGGACTCTACTACAAGGCAGAATTTGCTTGGGAGAGGGATGGTGATGGGAAGCACCGAAGATGGAGGGATTAGTTCAAGGAAAGTTTCATGGAGGAAGTGGCAGGCAAGATGAGTTATAAAGGAGGAGGATGGTTGGAAAGGCATTCCTGCTGGAGGAAACGATACATGGCCTTAGGAAGATACTGGGCAATGATATGATGTTTCTTTTGCCTAGAGTATGGTCTCCCTATGAGACCTCGGGACGGAACTTGGGGCATTGGGCTCTGTGAGCCTCTCCAGGGCTTATCAGATGTCGTCAATATTTATTTAGCATCTGCCATCTGCCAGGCACTGAGAATGCGAGAATACATACGACATCATTCTTGACCTCACTGAGCTCACAGACAGTCATGACAGCAGTGTTATGGGAGGTGAGGTCACACAGAAGGAATTGCCTAATTTGGAGGAGATAAGGGAGGCGTTCCAAAGAGGTCGTGTTTAAAGTGAGCCTTGAACTAACGGTAAGTCCCAGGTTGCCAGGCAGACAGTGAGGTGGAGGTGGGGTGGGCTGGAGCGTTAAAGGCATTTCAGGTTGAAGAAGCAGCGTGGCCAAGGTGGGAGCCATGGGTGGACACTGGCATGTTCGGGACCCTGGATCAGGAAGGGTACACTGAGTGGATGCTGTGTGCTAGGCCCTGTTCTGTACTCTGGGGATACAGGGAACAAGTCCAACAAGGCCCTGCCCTCCTTCTACTTGGGAGGGGAAGGGAAGGCAGACAATAAAAGAGTAGATGAAAAGAGAGTGTGAGAAGCCCTAAGAAGGATACAAACAAGGTCATACTGTGGAGAGGAATGGGGTCAGAGTGGGTGGGAGGGGGGATCCATACAGGTGCATGGGATGGACAGACCTAGATGGGACTTCGCACAGCCAGTGGTGTGAGAGCAGGGGCACCTGGGGGAGGGGTGCCAAGCCCAACCGTCTCCCTCTCTTTATAACAGAGCTCTCCAAAATTGGAGCGAGAATGCCTCTGGAGGCAGAATCGACAGGCCAACAGGAGCTGCTCTCCTGCCTGTTCTGCATCCTGCAGGCCTCCCACAAAGAAGCCCCGTTTAAAAATTTCAAGCCCTTCCCTTTTGCCTTCCAGAGGAGGATCCCAGATGCTCAGACCTCCGGGGGAAGTGACAGGCAGTGAGTGGGGTGGGTGGCCCACTCCTGGAGGACAAGGCAAGTCGTGCTGCTGAATGCGAGTCTCTGTGAGGGGGTGTGCCCTTCGGGAGAAGAAGGCTCAAGGACAGCCAGTGGCTCTCTGGGGACCAGTCTTAGCTCTGTTTTAATTGTTTCCCTTGTCCTTCACTCTCTGGACACAAGGTGGCAGCCGAGCCTTGAGCTTGACAGGCTGCAGGGCCAATGGGGCGGGAGGACTCTTCCCTCAACATTGCTTGTCCACGGCATGCTCATTTGCCTGAGGCCTGTCTCCCTGTTCAACCTGACCTCTGAATGGGGGAACCAGGAGGAGGAGGGCCTCTGCCAGCACAGAGCACCCTGGTTTTCACCAACCTTCACTCAGCCATGTGTAATATGCACTGCCCTCTCCACGATGGAAGCTAAGGCTCCAGAAACCTAACCTCAGTCTGCCTGCTCCAGGGCCCCACTAGAGACTGGCCCATAAGTAGCCTGGACGACAGACCAAGGGAGAGGCACCCCAGCTGGCCTTTGGAGAGGAATTCTTCTGGGCCCTCTCTGCTATAGTGAAAACGTCCCCAAAGCCTGTGAAACTGGGGCGGAGGGACCAAGTGCAGGGCATGGGGCATAGTACGCCAGTCAGATCCATTCGACAGCTATTAAGTCCACTGCATGTGTTAGGTCCCATGCTAGTGCTAAGAGGACAAAGGTGAATCAGACTCAGGCTCTTCCCAGAAGTTCACAATCAGGTAGACAAATAGCCCTTGCGATATAATGTGCTAAGTTCAGTGAGAGAGAGATGTGCAGGGCATTGGGGAATACAGAAGAGATGCATTAATCTAGACTTGGGGGTGGGGTGGAGGGAGGTCAGAGACAGCTTCCTGGAAGTAATTCCCAAGTTGAGTCTTAAGAATAAGAAGGTTTTGCCATGCAAAGGTAGAGAGGGCTTTTCAGGCAAAGGGACAATGTGAGCAAAAGATCAAAGTCAAAAAACTAGGTGGAGGGAGGTTAAAAGAAGTTGCAGTGTGTCTGAGAAAGTTCCAACTCAACAGCCTTTAATGTTGCAACCATCTTAATGGGTACACGTTCTGTGATCTGGCTCTTGCCTACCTCTCCAGCCAGTTGAAAGGATTCCTGAGCAGTTTTGTACATTTCTATAAGAGCTTTGGAGACCTGAGTTTTTCCAGGCTGGGGCCTACAGGATTAGGGGAAATTGGATGCTGGAAGGGAGACTTGGAGGCTGGGAAATTAGTTTCTGGGTGGGCCTTTTCTATGGGACCTTCTACTTCCCTGTGGCTTAATGAGTGACTCCCCTGAAAACTGGGGACTGATGGGGAAATTGACAAAGGAAGTAGTGACAGAGTACATTCAAGAGAAATCCAGAGGTTGAGATTGTAAGCAAACAGCAAACACAATTTCAAAAACAAAAACCATAAGGCTAAATGTTGATTAACTAGGTTACGTAAAAATTCAATTCCTGATTGATGAAAGACCTCATAGCCGAAGTGATCAGGCAGACCTATTGGAAGAAATATTTGCAATGGATAAAACCAACAGGGAATCAATACTTCCTAGACTATACAAAGAATATACAAGTCAACAACAATAGGAAGAAGTCCAAAGAGAAAAAGGAGCAAGGATATGATTGGGAAATTTATAGAAGAGGAAACCCCCAAAGTTACAAACATTTTGTGGCAGAGATTGTCTAACTCTTCACCAATTTACACGTCTTCTCTTCTTTGGCACAGAGCTAGACAACATTTCTGAGCCCCCTTGCTTCAGGCCATGTGACTGAGTTCCACCCAAGGAATGAATGGATCAATGTGTGGCACAGCTTAGACAGGGCCCTCCAACCTCCTGTGCCATTCTCCTGGGCCACTGTCTTCCCTCCCCTGCTGTTGGATGCAGAGAATCCAGTGGAAGACTCTAGGCTCTAGAAGAAGACAGGGCTACACGTACATAGAAGTGTGACCACCTGAAACAGTAGCCTGGCCCTGCCTTCCACCACCCTGGACTGTGATGTGAACAAAAAATAAGTCTTTATTTGTTGAGCCACTGAGATTTGGGGTTTGTTACATCATTTCACCTACCTCACTGATATGCGTGTTTAGATGTGCTCAAATCCATGAAAGAAAGACAAAATAAAAAAGTGTACCACTTCACTTATTCTCATTAGACTGGCAAAAATTGGTAAAATAGATCATTCCAAGAATTGTGGTAGAGGTTGGAGGAGTGTGTGTGTATGAGTGTGTGTGGTAGAGGTTGGAGGAGTGTGTGTGTATGGTGATATAGGAATTCCCATGCCCTGCTGGTAGGGATGTAGGCTGGTGTAGCCTTGCTGGGGCAATCTGGTGGTTCTCACTAAAATTAAACACGTGGATATCTTATGACTCAGCAATTCTACTCTTGGGCCTATACCCCGTGGAAATCCTCACACCAGTCGACACAGAGGAGACATGGATATTTACAGAAACATTGTATTGGGGAGTTAGAGGTAATCTGGGTGTCCATCACTGGGGGAGCAGATAAGTAAATGAGGGGATTCGAGTCATGGAGAACTACGCAGTGGCAAAAAGTAATGGACCACGCGTACACATGGCAATGTGAATGGGCCTTAAAAGCAGAGTGAAAAGGATGTAAATGAAGGTATGTGCATACTAAACAATAATACATATTTTACAAAAATACACATAAAGAAAATATACATCAAACACCAAAGAATGGTTGCCTATGGAGGGAATGAAAGAGAAAAGTGGGAGGGGAAAAAGAAAACAGAATTGAATGGATGAACTCACTTCCACTACACAGATTTTCAGTTCATTTCAAAAGCTTCTGACAAGAGATTGAAGACTGACAATCACAGCTTTTTACTTTTGCATGATAGAATCTGATTTCCAGGAGGTTATTACATCCATCCTCAATTTTTTAAAAGTCTATGTTCAGCCTTCACTGCTTTTTTCCAGTTTCATAAACATTCTCTTTTAATCGCCTGACCTCATGTTTTTTCAAAAACTAAACAAAACAATAAAAGGGGAACAGAATCACAAGATCCAATCTTAGTCCAAACAGCTTTTACTCAGAACATAAAACTGTTTGATTTTACTTGTGTAATAAACAGGGAGAAAAGAGTGAAATACTTTATGCTCATATCTGCATAGCA